GATACAAACAAGGGTTCATTGCGCTGAGTTTATTACGGGTCACTGTTCTGATTCTTAGCCTTCTGCTCTGTACACATAACAACACCATGTTACTGGGTACCCAGTGAATGATGTAACAACTCAGTGTAATTTGAAAGCAATGGCCAATGACTTCAAAAGACAGATAGATTCATACAACTGCCCTCACCCCGAGTAATTCACAGTTTAAAAAGAACCAAAATTATCATAGATGGCATCTTAAGTGGTCTATTATATATAAACTAAAAATTATACATAGTTGATATGTATAATGTTGTATGATACTAATAATTTTTTAAGATTATAATATATACATTAACAATTAAGCTTATTGACCGCTAGTATACTACTAATATTTTAGTTAACTTTAGATGAAAAAAATTACATACAAATAATATAAAGATAAAAAAGATGCATTAAATAAGAGTATATTATTATATGAGTCATTAAAATAATACATATTTATAATTAAATTTTATTATAAATGATTATAATGAAAATATAAAAATTAAATCGTTCTTTAAAACAGTCATATAATTTCAAGTAACAGTTAATTTTGATAATTATTTATAATTGTATGATTGATGTTTAATCTTCTTACTTGTATGTAAAATCATCCTATATCTCTCTCATATTCATCCATTCATCCATCTATATATAATAAAAGTAAATTTATTTTTATAAAGATCATACTTATATATTAAAATCACATAATCATATTAAAAGATACAAACACGCGCGCGCACGCGCTTTTCTTGAAACAAATCAAAGTCTTAGATCAAGCTCCTTTGCTTTCTCCCGAAGGCACTATGTTTTGTCCCATGCATGCATTCGATATTATAAGATTCCTCTTCTTGATTCTAACTTAAATTAGTTTTCCCCCCAATTCCCCAAATCTACTAACAATGCACTTTCAACTTTTAAGACTTTAACATTCAAACCCTTCAAATCTAAGAAAGAAAAGTCTTCACGCCAAAACAAAATTGCATGTCTTTGGTATCATTGGAAACTTTACGAAGTCAAGCATAATCTTTTTAAGCTTCTTTTGTTCTGGACTAAAATATAAACAATATCATTAGGCTATCCGTATTTTCTTTTAATTATAAATCTTTCTGTCTTGATTATATTTTGATATTTATAGAAAATGTATTAAATTATATCATATTTATTAGAAAAAAGAAGAAGCTTAAAATAGTCTTGAATATGAAGATTAATAACTACATTAATTTTAAAAATATCACTAAATGAGTTTTCTAAATATTAGAACATGAGCGTCTTTATTTCTATACAAATTTAAATATGATCACAATATGTCAAATTTTGTAAATTATATATTTGTAACACACACACACACACACATATATATATATATATATATATATATATATATATAAATAAATAAATAAATAAAGTGAACTAATCATAAGATTAAATCACTTTAGAAACAGTAAACTTACTTTGTTCAATTTGGTCATTTGCCGTAACGAAATGTTAAATACAGTATTAACATTTGAACACAGATGACACAAACTTTGCCAAAAAAAAAAAGAAAAAGGCATTGCTTATTTAATGAGAAATCGAAAGAGAGAAAGAAAAGAACGAGGAGCAAGGCAAAAACAGAAATTTGTGCTACTTTTTTAGTGGTTGTCCAAACATAATCTATGTTAAAATAATTGCATCTAATTATTTCTTTAACAGGAAAAATAATGAACGGAGAAATTGGAGGAACAAAGAAAACAAGTGTTAAAAATGATAAAGAAGAATAGAAAAAGAAACAATAAGAGTTAATATAAAATATTTAAAATACGAAATTACATAGTTTTAAAAATTTTATAAAAATTTCTCTTCTTATTTAAAACATTTTAAACAAAAATTATTATCTTACAGGCATTGTTCTTCCTCTCTTCTCTCTTAACTTCTAAATATAGCTTTAAGAAAGTGTATATTATCATTCTTACATGTTTGTAATAATAAATATACTCTTCATTTAACCTTTAAAAAATTATTTAAAAAAAATAAAAACCAGTTAAATAAAATGATAAAAAAAATTATATTGAAGTAGGATGATTTTTTTTATCACATAAAGGTTCGATTTTAAATCATAAAAGTTGAAAGATAAAATTCATTAATAAAAGTTTATATTTGACAAAAAAAAACTTATAATATCTAAATATATATTTATTGGTTATAATAATATATAATATTAAAAATATAAAGTAAATTAATTTTAATTTTAATAAGCTTATTCTTTATTATTTTAATGATAAAGTTATTTTTAAAATAATTATTTCAACTAAAAGTAGGAAAGGAATTTATTTTTTTTGAGGGGGGGAGGGGATTTTGTGTAAAAATTATAGAAATTTTAATGTATTGTTGCCATTTACCATTTCCCTGTAAAGTGTATTATGATAATAATAGAACAAAGACAAAAGAAGCCATGATGATAATTAAAGGCATTAGAAATGATAATGTTAATATATTAAAAGTTAAATTAAATGTTTAGTTTGAAATTTCAGTTTACATAACTTCTTGTTTATCCTATAGTATGTTCAAATTATTTGTGAAAGTAAAATATTTTAATAATTCGATTAAATAAAATAAGTTTTTTTTACTGTAAATTTAGTATTTAGTAACACATATTAGGAAAGTTTTAAAGTATTGTAGGTTTAATTTTTTGTATACAAATATTTACTTTAGTCGAATATATATATATATATATATATATATATAACAAGAGAAATGTACACTATTTAAAAAATTGTTAAATATGCTATTGATGTATATCTATCATAACTTTTACAATAATTATATTTTTACATTTAGAATTTCTATTCTTTTTTTTATTATTATTTTTCTCTCTTACTTTCGTCTGGCAATAGTTGTTAAAATGGGTTAAAACTTGAAGTCCTACCTTACTTAACTCCCCATAAAGCCTTATATTTTTTAAGTCTCATGGTTATTAAGTTTATTTTAGTCTTAAGTCTTAATATAAAGAAAATGATGGACTAAGATTTGAGTTAGGATAGATTAGCCTATCTATTTTAAAAAATAATTAATAATTATTATATTATTTATTTATAATATTTATTACACTATTTTATTTAAATAAATAAAAAATTACATTTTCAATATAAAAATTAATTTTAAAAGTATAAAAATACTTATTTAATATATTAAAATTTTTATTATAAAAATAATATTAAATATAATTATATTATAAAATTAAATTAAATTTATTTTTTACATTTATTTAATTTTTAATTAAATTTAATATAATACATTAATAATTTATGATTTTAATTACGAATTAATAATAAATATTTTTAACTAAATAATAAATAAATAATAAAATAGTATTTTATAAAATATTATTTAATAATTATTTTAATAATTTTTTTTTTCTAGTCAAGACTAACATGTAGTGCAAAATCAGAAAACAAACAAAAAGTGTTGGAGAGGTAAATCGATGAGCACTTTTTTTATTATCATTTTTTAGCTAATAATATTTTATTTTAATATCTTGATATTTTTTAACATTTTATTTTAACATATAATTCTTTAACTACTAGATGCTTATTTCACGCACAGACATATATGAAATACTTTTTAAATTAATAAAATTATAAAAAAAATAAATATTATTTCAATGGTTATTTATTTAAATTATTGAATAAGAAATATATATATATATATATATTAAAAATTTATAGTTAATACTTAAATAATATTTTAAAAATTATATAAAAATTATTATAATAATTTAATAATTATTAATAATATAGATAAAAATTAAAATAAATATGTAAAGTAATTTAATAATTAATTATATTTTTATTAATATTATTTAATAACAGAAGTTATTATAGATATTTAATATTGTATAAATTTTATTTTATTTTTTTATATTTTTTAAATAATTTTATTAATCTACAAATTTATAATAAAATATATTATATAAAATAAATATTTTTAATAAATATTCTACTAATTGTTACAATTCATATTAAAAAAATTTAAATTTAAATTCTCTAAAAGTAGATAAATTTTTGTGACTTGCATTACCTTAACCTTAGTCTATAGAACTTTTTATCCATAAAACTTTTAATTTATTGAATTTTTTTTAGGTATAGAGCTTTTTAATTCTAACCTACATACGCTAGGATTATGGTTGCATAGCTCTTCCACCGCTTCCCATCCATCTATTAAATATAAAATTATAAAAATCTTGATTTCTAATTCCAATATTAACTAACACCTTACCTAATAATATTTATTAAAAATATCATTGATACATATTTATTCTAAACTTAATATATTTTAAATATAATTTTGAATATAAATTATTTTTAAATTTTTTAGCCAATATATAAAAAATAATTTAAAAAATTAATAATAAATACATAATATAATTATTTTTATGTAACTTTATTGTATTAATAATTTTATTTCTTATTTTATATATATATATATATATATATATATATATAATTTTTTACACAGATATAAGTATAAAAATTTTTACTATCAATCCAAATTTTTTATTTAACTTAAATTTAATAAATTATAATTTATTACTTTATTAATTATTAAATTTAAATTAAATAAAAATATGAAATTAGATGGCACAAATTATGATAATCTTCGTTACTGCCTCAATCTAAAATTCTATTTCCACAATTTAGTTTTACAAATCTCTGTCTTTTTTTCTCTCTCTCTCTCTCTCTCTCTCTATATATATATATATATATGAGGCAGTAAAGAAGATCATAGTAATTTGTGCCCTTTAAATATTTTCCCTCTCTTGCAGGAATATAACATCCTCCTCTTCCTCGACTCACTCTTTTTATGTCTCCCTCCCATCCCCAGACAGACACTAAGACAGTGACATATATGTTGGTGTTAGGTTACTCTTCCTAAGACATTGCAAACCAGACAACCCTAACCCCAACCCCAACGCTATTCTCTGTCATCGTTCCGTTCCAATGGTAGCTGCCAAGCCCAAGCTATCATCAATGCCTTTCAATACCTCCACCGCCACCAAGTCCTCGATCACGCGCTCTTTCGCCGCCTACTTCTCACGCTCCTCCGCTCAGGTTCAGCCCCGCCCCTCCGACGTCACTGACCTCCTCCGCCTCGTTGAAGACCTCCGCGAGCGAGAGTCTCGCCTCAAAACCGAGCTTCTCGAGCACAAGCTCCTCAAGGAAACCCTCGCCATCGTCCCCATTCTCGAGAACGAGATCACCGCCAGGGACGCACAAATTCAAACCAAAGCCAACCAGATCGAACAAATGGAAGCAGAGAACCAGAGACTAAGAAACGAGCTCGAAAAACTGAAGCTCCGAATCGAAGAAGAGAAAACGGAGAATCAGAGGAAAACCAAGGCGTTGGAGGATCAGATAGAGAAGCTCAAGAAAACCGCGTCGGATCATGTTTGCAAAGTTTTTGAAAACGACGAGCACTCTTCTTCTTCTTCTTCTCCCAGGCTTCTAGGGACTGTGGAGGTGTCCGTGAGGTCAACTATTATCAAGAGTGTGAAGAAAACGACGTCGGAACATGGAGGCCTGAACCAGAAGCAAGTGGAAGCTACTGTCGTGGATTTTAAACGAGAGCTCGCGGAAAATGAAAGGCCGCGTTACTCGCGTTCTGACTCCGACGAACTCGCCGATTCCACTCACGCAGTTCTAACCAGATCACGCGCGCCTCGGGTTCCCAAACCGCCGCCGCGCCCGTCGTCGTCTTCGCTGTCCTATGATTCTGCTGCCGGTAATGTCGAAACAGAACAAGCGGTTTTTCAACCGTCGAAGACGGGGCCTCCGCTGCCGCCTCCTCCTCCTAAGGCAGCGTCCAAGGCTGCTCCGCCTCCTCCTCCGCCGTTGCCGAAGGGGAGCAGGCAGGTTGCGGCGAAGGTGAGGAGAGTGCCGGAGGTGGTGGAGTTTTACCACTCGTTAATGAAGAGGGAATCGCAGTCCCGGCGGGAACCGAGCTCCGGTGTGGCGGAAATGCCGCCGCCGGCGAACGCACGTGACATGATCGGCGAGATCGAGAACCGTTCATCTCACCTGCTCGCGGTAAGTGTGTCTTTTGGTTTTGCCGAAATTGCGATATTGCCACTGGCCATACGTGTCCGTGTGAAGTCCGAAGTGCTAACTAAAGTTCTTTAATTTGAATTATATTTTTTTGGGGACGTAAGACAGTAGTTAGATTCGAATTTGGACGCCCACAACCGTAATTAGGCCCCAAAGTAGGGCGTAACTTTGTGGAAACACTTAATTTTAAATTCTCAAACGAAAAAAAAAAAAAAAACCTCCATTATCTGATTATTGCTGTTAATTGGAGAATTAGGTGCTTAATAATATCTTTCGTTGTTTTCAGATAAAATCGGATGTGGAGACACAAGGAGACTTTATTAAGTGCTTAATCAAAGAAGTGGAGGGTGCCGCGTTTACTGACATTGAAGATGTTGTGCTCTTTGTTAAATGGCTCGATGACGAGCTCTCCTATTTGGTACTTTGTTTTATATTTACTTTGTCACTTAGTTTGATTTAGATTAAAGTTTAGTAAAATTGATTTTGATAAGATTGATTTTGGGTCATTTAATATGATTGAGATAAGTAGGTTAATTAAACTGAATCACACTTCTTCATTGAGATGTGCTTTTTTCATTAAAAAATGCAATAATTAATTTTCCAATGTCAAACCAAACAAGTCTTTTTATGTTTGCGTTTAGATTAAGATAAAAAAAATGAAGATTTGTTTGTCGATGGTTTTTGTTTTTGTTATAGGTGGATGAACGAGCAGTGTTGAAACACTTTGATTGGCCTGAGCAGAAAGCCGATGCTCTGCGCGAGGCTGCATTTGGCTATTGTGATCTCAAGAAATTAGAATCTGAAGCTTCATCCTTCCGCGATGATTCTCGTCAACCGTGTGGCCCAGCTCTCAAGAAGATGCAAGCTCTATTGGAGAAGTACGAGGGAATTTGTGATCCACTTTCTAATAAATTACAACATTACTAATAATAAATTATGATTTGAATGCTCATTTCCATACACCCTCGGAGAACTAATGATGTGTTATAAAAATGGTTATTACAGATTAGAGCACGGAGTTTACAATATCTCAAGAATGAGAGAGTCAGCAACAAAAAGATACAAAGTCTTTCAGATACCTGTACATTGGATGCTTGATAATGGTTTTGTGAGCCAGGTAATTTTAGCTGCATCCAGTGAATATAGCCTCAACAAAAAGATACAATAGGTTATTGCACGCCAATTAACTTCAATGTCTATCTGACTAACGGCCAAAAGTTGTTTCAAATGATCTATTTTATGGATTTCTAAAAAATTGTCAAGTCTTATGGTTATAGGTAGTGTTCGTTACCTCGTTTAAAATAATCTTATTAATAAATATAAATGCTCTTCGTTAAATTTCATCATGTCGGGAAGTTACAACCAAAACCTTAAATAAAACATCTGTGTGGAAATGCTGTCTAGTATGTAGTATCCAGTATAAGCAACAAGGTGCAGTGCTGGTAGCAAAAGGACAAAACATTGGTTAGACTTTACTTGTTTCTCTGTGGACATCTGCATGCGCACATGTGACCTCCCAGATCTATGAAATCCATCTATTTGTCTGCTTCATCCTTGTAACTTGAATAAAGAGAACGAGATTACATTCTTGACCGTTAATAATATCTATGAGTAACATTCAAATGCCACTGGGAAGAATAATACATTCTATAAGTTTTAAAAAATTACATCAATTATAGAGTACAATAGCGGTCTTATCCTTCTTACATGCGATTAAACAACAATAATTGAGGCATGGATAGCGTTGTAGATTGCTATTTACTACAATATTCCAGCTACACAGTGAAGGATGATGAGGGTAAATTCTGAAATGTTGGTTAGCTGATTTCATTTATTGTATTGTAATGTTGTGACAGATCAAGCTGGCATCTGTAAAACTAGCCATGAAGTACATGAAGAGAGTCTCTGCTGAGCTTGAGACAGTTGGTAGTGGTCCTGAAGAAGAGGAGCTCATTGTCCAAGGAGTTAGATTTGCATTTCGAGTACATCAGGTAAATCCTACAAATATGTTCGAACAATAATACAAAATATTTGCTTGTGCTAACAGAGAGAGAGAGAGCAGATAGAGTCATGTGGGATTTTGGAGTAATGAGTTACTGATTTTTGGCAGTTTGCTGGTGGCTTTGATGTGGAGACAATGAGAGCATTTCAAGAATTGAGAGATAAAGCGAGGTCATGCCATCTTCAATGTCATAGCCAGCAACAGAAATTCCTTTGCAGGTCTGCGACATGCTAAAGTGCTGGAGCAAACTCAGCTTCAGAAAATTAGTAGCCCCGTTTTTGCTGTATAGATAGTGACATTTTGTTTGTGAATATCAATAGCACGCCCATCATTTTGCTGGACGTAATCATAATTCTTCAGTTCATTGATGAATGAATGGGAAAGGGAAACAAAAGATAGTAAGTAACACCAATTTGTTTCCTCTCTCACACGTTGCTCTTTTGAACCCACTTCCCTAATGCTAGTATCTTGTTTACATGATTCATTAATATCCTTTGACTGCATTAACTGGGATGATTTTTTTTAAGCGAATGAAAACTTCTGTGACCTTCTTCGTCAATTCAATGGAAATATGTAACTGAACCCAAAAAGAAACTATAAATACAACAAAAAAATTCAATAAATAAGCGGAGCATTGTACTGTCTATTAATTAGTACTAATCCCTTTTTGTATGAACAAAATGATTTTATTGATCATTAAATGTCAAATTGGTACAATAAAAGACATTACATAAATCGTTTAAATCTTTTGAATGATAAATTATATTTGGGGTCCTTCAGTACGCATTAATCATGAAATTAGTCCTTGAATATATATTTCATTGATCAAATTAATCCTCAAAATTCATGATAGGAGGATTAATTTCATCAAGAAAATGTACATCGAAGAATTTTAACAATATTTTTATCATTTAAGAACGAATATAGTTATACTATATGTTAGTGTATCAAGTTGAATATTTAGAGCATGTTTGTTTTGATTTTTAAAGAGTTTTCTCTTTTTAAAAACAAAAAATACACTATTTTTTGTTTCTAAAAAGAGAAAACTCTTTTTAAAAATAAAACAAACATGCTCTTATTCTTTTAAAATATGATGTCTATATTTCAAGTAATAGAATTTTGTTCATTCCTAATTCTTGACAATGCGAAGTACAATGGTTACAAAAGGTGCAGTAACAATTTATTGTATTATATTATGGGGTGAACGAGGAAATCGTGTATAGAGACACTATGAGGAAGGACATGTAAATTAATATTTGCATTCAGATTGGTGCTGGACGTCTGACATCCTGATACGGCGTGCTGTGAAATATTGGGCAACTCTTCAAGCCAATTACTCCCGATTCTAGGTTCTTAATCCCCTCTGAGTATTGCAACTCACTTAATTTTATCCATAGCATATGTTAATATTTAAAAATTAATAAATTTAATAACAAATATTTGCCTCCTTTTTTTGAGCTAACACTTGTTGCAATTTCCATCTATTTCAATTCAAATATTTAAGGAAAATTTAGAAGTTTTTATGCTTTCAGATTCATATAACTTTGCAACGCACTTAATTCTATTCATAACATATTTTTACTATTTAAAGAATCGTCTTTGAACACAACACTCGTTGAATTTTCCATATATTTCCGGTTCAAATATTTAAGGTTCTTTTTTTTAAAATGTAACTTGACTAGATTCCTTTAATTTAATTGCATAGTTAACAAATCAGTTAGAGAAAACATGAAAGAAAATTCACTTTTTGGGTCAACGCGCATTCTTATTTGAATCCAACAAACACTCTTCATTGACCCATTTTTCTAAAACCCAATCTCTTTGCTTCGACTCATCAGCTTTTTTTTGGTCAAGGACTCGTTAGCTTAATAGTTCAACATTGGCCCATTATCAGACTAAAGCCCATTTTCCCGTCCACCGACCTACCATTTTTAAAAAGTTGTCCTTAGTTAATAGCTTATGGTAAAGCTAGAGGGACAGAGAATGTAAGGAGCAAGGTTTCAAACCCTGTCATATGCGAAAATTACAACCTAATCCCCCTAACCCCCCTCCCCTGGACCCCAAAAAAAAAAGTTGTAAAAAGTTATCGAGCCCAACAATTAAGTGAGTGAGTGCACTATGCTGTGACTGTGATATGTCAATGGTGAGTTTTCCTGCTCCTGCAGATATGAATCGATATTAACCTCAATTATAGTTAAACTAGAACTCACCTTTTATTGAAATAGAAATAGCAGTACTAAATAATGCCATTAAAAATCATTTTACATATTGATAACCATAACTTATAAAATATCTACTGCTGAGAATCATTGGTCGCTCAAATCTAGTCAGTGTTCCATGTATTGCTGAGATATACGTTCTATGGGAAGACATGCCAAAAATGTGGCTAGATTGCTCCCATAAAGCAAATGACCAGTGACAATAAAGTAGTAGTAAAATGTGAAAAGACCCTTTCTTTCCTGGAAGGAAGGAAACAGTTTTACTGTTACAATCAACCTTGTAGTTACCACAAGTATGAAATATTATACATCGTCTGTGCATCAATCAATGGTAATCATTCTGTGAGTCCGTGACTCTAAAATTAGTTTACACCTTTATAGTACTTTTCTTGATATGCAAAAATCTGATGATAATCTCTTTGACAAACTTATTTTGTACTTTATTCTTCAAGAATGATATAATTTTACAATTGAGTTTCACCCCTTGTTAGTATCTATCCCCCAAACAATGAAGAAATCCTTAAGTCACTAGCTTTATATATAACCAAGGGATGAAGAAAAGGATCAATTGGTATGGACCTTCACCTTGAAGTGGTGAGAGCTGCATATAGAAGTTGGTTCCAAGTATCAGGTAATCCTGGTAAGCACCAGTGGCTGCAATCATTGCCTGAGTGATCTCCACTATAAGAAGAAGGGTGAGCATCCTTCCTTAGTTGTGAGAGGAGGGTAATATCAAGTAGATAAACTGGAGTTTTCATCTTCTTTAACACATTGTTCAATATGGTAGTTGCTGGAGGTAGACCTGCTGGATATGTTGACCCAGACAATGGTTCAAGCTCTCCACTACAGCTTCTTTTTGGTTGATTCCACTCCTTACCCCTGTTTGAGTCACAAAGATATCATAAAACATGTTTCAGTTAATCTTTTGCATTATTTCATATCTTAAATTCTTCTAAGTTCTAACCCATTTTTGTCTCTAATAATCTTGCTCTGATACCGTGTTACAAAGAGATTGAAACTGAATATTTTCATTTATTAACTTTTTAAATGACGCAGGGAAGCTTATTTATACAAAATTTTGTATCTGAAATGGCTTCCAAGAATCTGCTGATTTTCAATAAAATCAATCTTATAAACTAAAGAATTTTGAAACACATGTTTAGCCATTGATAAGCATAGATATTTAGCTAGTTCTCTAGTCTTAATGTCTTTACTCCATTGATAAGCATTTAAATCACACATAAAAAAGACGAGGGTGTAGGCGTTACTTACTGGTAATGAGTAGGAGAAATGCCCTGAAAGAAGACTTTAGTTTTGGTGGGATCAATATTGAGATCAACCCATCTAGCCCAAGTCGTCAATCCCTTGTAGTATGCCTCCAAACGGTCCATGTTTTTAAGTAGATTGGGTCCATCTCTTATATAATCCCATCTGAGTATTATAATCATCAACAACCGTTAGGTCAGCCCGGAAAACAAAAAGGGAAAGCGAATGAATGAGGTAAAATTTAAAGCAGTGGTAAGTGCCAATAACTTTGAGCTAGAGCTAGCAACTGCCCACTACGAAAGAATGCATACAATACTATCATGTTAAATTGAGACAAAATTACAAATTATACTCTTTTTCTTATTATGGAGATTTAAATCTTGCGAGGTAAATAGAATGATTCTACACAAAAACATACCCCTGAGATTTTCCGACGTGGGTCCACCAATGCCACGAGTTAAAAATCAACATGTCCATGCCTTTCCATGCATTTCCAGCCACAATGGAGTCCAATGTAAGCACTCGCCCAACATTTTCTCGAATTATGTCTACCAAATACGGTGTGCGGTATAGCTTTATAGTTACTCCATAGTCCTGCACAAACTCACCATCAATCCACTTTAGTTGCCTCAGATTAAACCACTCATTAAAGTGCATAACAACCACAACTCACGAGACTTTATAACAAATTAAATGGTTTTGTTAGAAAGGAAAATTTCTATAAATTTTGAAATATATTTTGTGACTTTAAACCATAGAAATATTTTTTTTCCTCTTCAACATATCCCTGTTCGTTTGTCAAAAAGCAAGAGAGGTTACAAGTCTAATGCATATAATCTCCACGAGTAATGCTATTCCAACAATAAAAACATCATTTTCAAAAGAGGAAACATGTATGGAATGCATCAAAGATTCACGTGAAAAATAATAACAATCTACAGACACGCTCTGCTCTGTCATGCTCACTTTTTCAATATAATGATGCTATCATTTCACTTTATGCTACACGTTTCTATGATTAATAATTAACTATTATATGTTAATCATAATTTTTATTATTATTTTAAATTTGTCTGGTTTACAAAAATAAATAATATATTATCAACAAAATAAAATTAAATTATCATTTTATACATATACCGAAAAAGATCTAAATATTTTTTATTTAATTTATATCTAATGATTAGTAAAATAATAAATTATAATCTATTAAATATAAGATAAATGAAAAGTAAAATATGAGTCTGTAAATTTATACTATGTAAAAGGATTTGCTTCATATATATATATATAAACAATAATCAAAAGTTTGAGAATATTATTATGAAAAAAAAGTCTGGGGGAATGTATTATATATTTATTGGAATAGTTAACTTAACTATAAACATTGGAAAACGGTGATTATTCAAATTGCAACAATTTCTTAGAAACCTAGTGAATAACTCTTCGAATGAAATTTGCAGGCAGGGAAGTATGACTGTTACCAAGTGATTGAGAAGTGAAATTTATCCGAGTTGGAAAAATATTATGCATTTAGTAGCTTAACGATATTAAAATGGCATATAAATGGTTTTAAAATAAGATGACATGCCAACTATGGTGGCATGTTATGTGATTGATATAGACACTGGAGATAATGAACCAAATAATTGTGGGCAGCCTTCAAGTTGTTATCACAGGTTGGCATGGTCTTCCCACAGCCTGTCAACTACCGGCGATAACTCTTCCCATTCAAGATATATATCTGCAATCGCAGTCACTGCTGCATCCGTGCTAAAACTTTAAACAGTTTCCTCGCTTAATTTTGGGAATCAAACAATTTTCAAGTCCATAAACAATTTTAAATTTGGACAAGACTTAAATACAGTGTATTAAGTGGTTTTAATATTATCTTTTAATCAAACTTTAAAGTCAATTTTAATTTCATCAATTATTATAATTTAATTAAAAAATAGCGTCAAAAATACCTATTTTATTCTACCTAAGTTTTTTCCATTAAATTTTGGGCTTTCTGCGATGAAAATTACTATGTGCGGTTGTTTTCTTTGCTTTTTCTTTTGGGGTGTTGGTACTTTTTTGGCTATTCGTTATTTTGAATCTTTGATTGCTCATGGCCCAGCAAAAGGAATCTTCTGCCAAGGAACTATTCAAAGGTATATATTATTAAAGCGTTAGCTCAACACATCCACTTAACTTTGTGGGCATTGTTTTTCGTATACTTAAATCCATGTAACTCGACCTACCCCTATCAACTTTTGAAGAAAAAACAAGAAAAGAAAAATCCAATCCAGTCTCCCTTCCTACCACACCTTCTCTCTATGTTTTTATTTCAAAAGTGACAAGTATGATTGAGTTGCAAAATTTTGGGTGTACGAGTAACATTTTTTTTTTCTAAATTCATCTCAAAATCTGACTTGAATGAAAAAAGAGTTATAAATATAAGAAAAAAATTAACACCAGATTTAGGATTCACTTTAAGTATTTAGAAATGGTAATTTTTTATTAAAAATAAAAGCATTTACTATATTTTAATTTTTATAATAAAATTAATAATTTTACAAACTGAAAATGAGCTATATTAAAGAAGCCAATAAATATAATAATATAATACCTGGGGCTGGATAAAACTGAGGAAATTTGTAAACCAGGGGAAATAAACCGTGAACAAAGAAGCAACTTAGAGAAACAAAGGGGACGAAAAATGAAGACAAATGTGTGTGAATACACTGAACCAGAAAGGAGACAAATATACAAAAAGAAAAGCAAACCTGGAAGGTCACAGTGGAGAGTGATTCTTTCCTCAAAAAGCTGGTTTTGGCATTGGGCACCGACGCGTGAATCATACAGGACAGTGATTGCCACATGTTCAGACTCAGTGAGTCACCCACAAACATTATCTTCTTACCCCTCCACTTGTTCAGGAAATCAGCCCCATCGAACCTACACCATAGGGAAAAAAATTGAGTCGGTTTCTTAATGTGCTATTAAGCATAAAATCATAAACAAGAAAGGTTGCTTTGTTTCAAAGAATAAAATTGAAGAATTATAGCCAAATCCCATTTACCAAACACTTCCAAAATTGATTTAATTAGTCCTTCAATCTAGTCCACATTATTTTTGTGATGAAATGGAGAAACAAGATGTGAATGTTCTTTTATTTTAAAATGGTTCCATACTCTACACTACATATTTTAAAATGCAATATGCAACACAGAAAATATGAATCTGAGAACCAATGTTAATATATGAATTGATAAAGTTGGTAGTACCTAGGTAAGGCACAGGAATCAGGTTTCCAAGCGTATTTGAGGTACTGTTTATCAGGTCTTCCATACTTTTGGCAATCAAACTCAGCATCAATGAAGGGACAGCTTGAAGAATCATAGAAAGGATAAGAAGGGTTAAAGACCCACGTTCCTATGAACAAATTGCACCCATTTACCACTGACTTTCTCCCTCTGATGCCACTCACATTGTGGAACTTTGTTGCTGTTGCTTGGTGCAGGGACAAAAGCAGAGCTTGGCAAAACAGGGAGAACAGAGAGAGAGTAATGACCCTGAAACCCATGTTGGATTTTAGAGTCTAGAAGCTGAGAGAGACAGAGGGTCGTGAACAACACTAGTGAGTGCTTGTGGGTGGATATATAGGGTGAAGAAACTCAAAGAAAAAAGACAAGTGCTTGGTGGGTTCCAATGGTAGGTGGTGTAGGACTGATTATTTTTTTCTATTTTTTGTCGTGTTTCTCTCTCTGACAAGGGGATCTTGGATGGATTTGTGTGTGGTTTGAAAATGAAGAGGTTGTTTTTACCGGAAAAATCAAATGCTTACTTACAACATACATAAAACGGAGGGAACTGAAATGTTCTTTGCATTCCATCCATTGCCTACTATGTCACGGGCAAAAAGGAATCTGTTTCTCCCAATTAAATATTCAATTTATTTGTACAAAAATCGACTAATTAGTTACATTCTGTTTACTTTGCTTGCTATCAGGAAAGTTGTAAGTTTGGGTAAGAAAAACAGTGACTTTTTTAATTGCGGATTTACATAATCAGCGACTTAAATGGATTGGAACTCATAATTTCATAAGATAACTAGTTAATCGATAAAAATTTAAAACAAACAATTTTAATATAATAAAAATATGTTTTGTTTTTTAATTGTGTTATAAGTAAAAAAAAAAAAAAAAGTGCATTTAAGTAAAAATTAATTAATAAAAAATTTATTGGTCTTCCATTAAATCAACATTTCATCTTGATATTCGTTATTTTATTAACTTTTAAATTCGTAACCACCTCTACTTTATCTTCATTAGTTTTATTGATATATTTTTTTTAAATATGATTTTTTTAACCTGCCACATATCGACATAAAATACATAATTTTCTAATAAAATAGAAAAAAAAACAATGCTTTTGTTACATGTATTAATCGTATATACAGAAAATAAATATATACTCCACTATACTTTAAACATTGTGAATTTTTTTCTATTTATTTTTTTAATTGTAAGTAAATGCCAATTAAATAATTTATTTCTTACTAAATTTTAGCAAATAATTTATTGCCTCTGTTGATCATGAATAAAGAAAAAAAATCAATATTTTAGCATTAATTACTCTCTTTAATTCACTTTTAAAATTTGTGATCTTTTAATCTTATTTTAGCAAGTTTTAATGGAAAATAATTTTTTAATAAAATGACGAATAATATTTAAATATTATTGATTCAATTTATTTTTTTATGCATAATTAATATCATGTTTAAATATTTATACATCATCTTATACTTTTTAACTTTTCCGATTTGCTTTCTGATGCTCAAACAAAATTAACTAAATTACAGATCATTGGTTCTAAAAATATTCTTTAAAATATATTTTGTTATATATATTGATAAAAGAATTTATTAACACGTTATATATATATATATATATATATATATATATATATATATATTAAATTATAAAATTAATTGAAATAAAATTATTCTAAATTAATATGTTGTCTAGAGTATTGATTAATTTATCATGTATACATTTGAAGATTAAATTAATGGAGAATAATGCATGAATTACACTTTCTTTGCAATGATTTTACTTTTATCAATGTTTTTGTTAATTTCTAAATTTTATAAATTGAATTGGTTACCTAATTTTCCTTTATTACTTTATATAAAAAAATTTATTTTTTATAAATACTTATTTTATATTTATAAATCTTACCTTTATTTTAAAAATTTCAATTTTTAAATTTACTTTTAAAAGTATATTTTTGAATTTATGATTATTAATATACATAGTTATTAATATTTAATTTAAAAAATTGACACTACACGATAATATTTTAAAAATATTATTGCTTAAAATAAAATTATTATATGTATAATTATTTATAAAATATAGAATTTATTTTAATTAATAATTTATATGTGTGTATATATATATACATACATATATATAATAACAATGCAATATACGGACTAAGCTAGTTATAGTTTAGCAACTTAAATTTTAAATCTATTTAAGTACCCTTGCGTACAATACATTTCCAGTTTTCTAAAATAATTTTAAAAAATAGAAATATATGAGATACATAACAAAAAATAAGGTTTTCTTGTCTTTCATTATAAAAGATTACTATTTTTACAAACTTTACTGTAAAAGATATGAGCATAACAAATCTATCTATAGTTATACAGATTATAAAATTTGTACTAGTAAGTTATTTTCAAAATAATTTTAGTTAATATTTTTAATAAATATTAAATTTTATTGATTTAATTATTTAATAATAAATTTTTATTGGATAGATTGAGTTTTTAAAATATCATACTCGTAAAATATCATATCATTATCATAATAAAATATTAAAAATATTAAAAACATAGAAAATATAATATTTTAAAATAAAGAATAATAATTTGAATTATCACAATTAAAAATATGCATACATAAAGTATTACACTATTCTTATAAATAAAATTTATATATACATATATATAAATGAATTAAGTATAAACAAGCAGGAACAGTCTTGTAAATATTTATCATTAAAAAATTCAAAAGCATCAAACAATAAGAAAATATCCATTTTAATAATTTTCAATGAAATTTATAACTAATATTTATATTTATATTATTATTATTATTATTATTATTATTATTATTATTAAGAGTATAATATATTGATATTGTACCGTATATAATTTTAGGTAATAATTATTTTTTAAGAAACTAATGTAAGTATTTAACATTGAATGTACATAAATATTTTTCCTTATTTTTTAGTTTTAAAAAATGAAGTAAATGTTTATCATTGAAATATATATAAAAAAATTCTATCGTTAGAAGGGTCAAATTAGTTATATAAAAATACATTCAAAGTAATAAAATAAAGCTTATTTAGAAAATATTTTATGCTAAATATTTCTCAGGTGTAGTCTAATAAATACTGTTTCTTTGTATGACCTATGATTTTAATTGGTTTTTTATTATTTAAAAATAAATAAATTATAATTAAATATTTTTAAGAATGTAATATATTTTTTTTACATAAAATACTTAATATTTTAAATTATTCTTAAAATAATGAGTCTAAAATTTTTATATATTATTTTAATTGAAAGTAATAAAGTAAAGCTTGTTTAAAAAATATTTTATATTCAATATTTCTCAGATCTAGTATAATAAACAATGTTCCGACCTATGAATTTAATTTAATTTTTATTATTTAAAAATAAATAAAATAATTATAATTAAATATGATCTAATAATTTTTTTATATAAAATACATAATATTTTAAATTATTCTTGAAATGAGGAGCCAAATTTGTTATTCATTAATTTGTATTAAATATTTGTAAAACAAATTGCATAAATTTTATATTTATTAAATAACTAATTTTTTAATATATTTTTATAATAATTTTTAATATATTTAAATAGTCTGTTTTTAAAATATATTATAATAAAATGATATCAACCAATTTACACACACATTACTTAATATTAATTTTATTTGTCCAATTTTATTGTAAACAATAATATATTACGTAATATAAAATGTTTTTTTAAGATAAAATAAATTTTTGTATATTTGTATATTTTACCTAATTTTATAAAAGTTAAAAATAATATCAAATATAGTGTTATTATTATTATTTTTATATTTAACTATGATAATACATGTTTACTGCATTCGTTCTTCCTTTTTTTATTATCATTTGATTATTATACTATTTCCTTATGTATTATATTTAAAAATTTATAATATTTGTAATATAATTTTATTTATTATTTAAATTATTTTAATATTACTTTATATATCTAATTTTATGTATTATTATTTTTTATAACCATCAAATATATATGTGCAAAATTGAATTTATATTATTTAATAATTTGATAATAACTCTATTCTTTAATTATTGGTAGCTCATGACTTATTATACTATTAAGGATTCTATTATAAATAAAAAGTTTTTTTTTTAATTGACCTGATATAAGAAGAACTATCATCTTGCACTTAAACATATTTTTTATTAACTTTAAGTTGAATTCAAGGATATTTAATCATGATTCATCAATGGACCACCTAATTTAGTAGTTACTATAGAAGGCATCATTCTTTTTTTTTTTTAATCAATTTATATATATATATATATATATATATATATATATATATATATAATGTTAAGTTTTAATTAATTTAATCCTAATTTATATGAGTAATGTAATATTTTAAATTTAATTTCAATAAATAAAAAATTTTATAAATTTTTGAAATAATAAAATTTTTATTTTTAATTTAATTTTTATCAATCATTTCAAATAAAAAAAAGAATTACAAATTATATCAAACAATTGTTACAAAACTTATCCTGTTATAAAAGAAAGTCCTTAAGATAAAAAAGAAGATCATGAAAATATCTTACCTTATGTGTGGTGTTGAGAAGAAAAAAAAAAGGAAGTATGTAGCAGAAAAGGGGAAAGAAAGTAAACGAAAGACTGGGTTCCACGCAGTGAACTACAACCGGAGCAAAAACCGACCACCACCCACAAGTCCAAAACAAATTAAGAGACCCGGGAATGGGAACCCACCAGAGTCCAAAAGGCGATTAAGATAAAATTTCTAGTTAATTAGTCTCAACGAACCCACTACACTACGCAGTACGCAACCATGTCGGCCATAGATTTGGGACCCATATGCCATTGTCTGTTTCAATTTCACCTTCTTTCGCATTCCGTTCCCATCATCGCTCGTTGGGGCTGATAAGCCGTGCACATCTTATGCTCCCAACTTGCAACAAAGGCCAAATCCCTTTCCATTGCTTCCAAATCTTACCCGCTCGCAACACTGCAATAACCATTTCGTCACGAGTTCAACAAATACTATTTAAACACATTATTTTAATCAAATTTTATGTCATGAGTGTCTCTACTTTACAGCAAAACTCATGTCTATATATGGTTTACAACAATCGGGCGAGTTCGAGTTCGTTACTTTCTAAAATTCTCTCTACCTTGCTTTTATAAATTTGAAATTTTCAATTAAAGAAATTTTTTTCCTTTAAAGTCAAGTTGAGTTGAACGTATATATACAAGATTAAGTTT